GACAACTAGAGGCTCTGTCTCAAAAAAAGAGAGAGAGAAGGAAGGCCCAGAGTTTTGTTTTGGACTTTTAAGGTTTTGTTTCGTTTTGTTTTTGAGACAGTCTTTGTCGCCCTTGGTAGAGTGCCCTGGCTTCGTAGCTCACAGCAACCTCAAACTCTTAGGCTCAAGCAATTCTCTTGCCTCAGCCTCCTGAGTAGTGGGACTACAGGCTTCCATCTAATTTTTCTATTTTTAGTAGAGATAGAGTCTCACCCTTGCTTAGGCTGGTCTTGAACTTCAGATCTCAAGCAGTCCTCCTGCCTTGGCCTCCTAGCATGCTAGGGTTACAGGGGTGAGCCATTGTGCCTGGCCCTTGGACTTTTAAGTTTTACAGGTCCTTTTGGTATCATAGGATATTGATGTGAGGGTAACAGTTAGATACAAATCTAGAAATATCTATGCTGGGGGCTCTGCGCCTGTAGCTCAGTGGTTAGGGTGCCAGCCACATACACCGGGGCTGGTAGGTTCAGACCCAGGCCAGGCCTGCTGAACAACAATGACAACTGCAACAACAAAAACAAAATAGCGAGGCATTGTGGTGGATGCCTGTGGTCTCAGCTACTTGGGAGGCTAAGGCAGGAGGTTCGCATGAGCCCAAGAGTTTGAGGTTGCTGTGAGCTGTGATGCCACCACATTCTATTGAGGGCAACATGGTGACTCTGTCTCAAAAAAAAAAAAAAAAAAGAAAGAAAGAAATATCCATGCTGGGGGCATAAAATAGGCCAATAAACAGACTGTTATTGTTGGTAGTTGGAGAAGACTTCTGCATGAAAGCAGGGGGGCAAGGCTCCTCTACTGGGGAAGAGTGCTTCAGCCTTGGGTCTAGAACAGACTTTGGGAAGTTGGAGGACCATCAGAGAGTCCCATATGTCTGCAGTGGAGTAAGCAAGGGGCAGGGAGAGTTGAAGTCAGTGAAACCAACCTGGAACAGAGCATGGAAAACCACCATTCCCAGCCTCTGTTGCACCAATGCCCCTTTCCCCTTTATTCTCAGAAATAGCATTCATATCATAGATATATACAAACATACCTATACTCATAGTACTGAGAATTTTTATTGAGATAATTCACATACATACGATTCACCCTTTTAAGATGTACAGCTCAATGTGGCTTTATTTTATTTTATTTTATTTTTGTAAAGACAGAGTTTCACTTTATCGCCGTCGGTAGGGTGCCGTGGTGTCACATAGCTCACAGCAACCTCCAACTCCTGGGCTTAGGTGATTCTCTTGCCTCAGCCTCCCAAGTAGCTGAGACTACAGGCGCCCAGCACAACACCTGGCTATTTTTTGGTGGTAGTGGTTGTTTAGTAGGCCCAGGCTGGGTTTGAACCCGCCACCCTCGGTATATGGGGCCGGCGCCCTACCCACTGAGCCACAGGCACCGCCCCTCAATGTGACTTTATTATATTCACAGAGTTGTACACCCATTATCACAATCAATTTTAGAACTTTTGCATCAACTACAAAAGACACTTTGATCCCTTTAGCTATCACCTTTCAGTCCCCCACCCCAGGTCACTCCCTCCCTGGCCCTAAGCCACCAGGAATCTACTTTCTGTTATCTATGAATTTTCCTATTCTAACCATTCAATGGTTCAATGTAAGATGTGATCGACTAGCCAGGCATAGTGGTTCACACCTGTAATCCTAGCAGTCTGGGAGGCAGAGGTGGGTGGATTACCTGAGCTCAGGAGTTCGAGACCAGCGTGAGCAAGAGCAAGACCCCATCTCTACTAAAAATAGAAAAACTAGGTAGGGGGCACCTGTAGCTCAGTGGGTAGGGCTCCTGTCACATACACCCAGGTTGGTAGGTTCAAACCTGGCCCGGGCCTGCTAAACAACAATAACAACTACAGCCAAAAAATAGCCCGGCATTGTGTCAGGCGCCTGTAGTCCCAGCTACTTCAGAGACTAAGGCAAGAAAATTGCTTCAACCCAAGAGTTTGAGGTTGCTGTGACCTGTGACACCATAGTACTCTACTGAGGGCAACATAGTGAGACTCTGTCTCAAAAAAAAAAAAAAAAAGGAAAGGAAAAACTAGCTAGGTGTTGTGGTGGGTTTCTGTAGTCCCAGCTACTCAGGAGGCTGAGGCAAGGTCACTTCAGCCCAAGAATCTGAGGTTGCTGTGAGCTATGATGCTATAGCACTCAACCCCAGGATGACTGAGGGAGACTCAGAAAAATAAAAGAAAGCTGTGGTCAACCATCATCATTAATTCCAGAATATTTTCATCATCTCCCCAAAAATCTCCATACATGTTAACAGTCACCCCCAATCCCCTTCCTCCCATCTCCTGACAACCACTAACCTATTTTTTTTCCTCCATGTATTTGCATATTCTAGACATTCATGTAAAGGGAATCATATGTAGGCTTTTGTGGCTGGCATCTTTCACTTAGCCTAATATTTGCTAGGTTCATGCATGCTGATCAATACTTTGTTCATTGAAATTTATTGCTAAATATTATTTCGTGTATGTGTACACCACATTTTATTTATCCCATGGAGAATTTTTTTAAATAAAGGAGAAATAAAAGGAAGGTGATTTGTTATAAAACAAGATGAATTTCAATATGTAAAATACTTAGCTGAAACCACGGTAGAAGAAATAATGAATTTAGTCAGTTGCTCACACCTAGACGTAGCTAAGTGAGATGGTATGAATGCAAAGTGATCCAGGTGCAGTATTGGGGACTTAAATGGCACAAATGGTGTTAATACTGATGCCACGTTTTCAAAAATGATATACAACTCTTGGTAGAGTTCAGAACAAAACCTTCGGTACTTACAGGTACCATGGGTGGGGTTGGTTTCTGGGCCTAGAGATTTATAAATAGGCTTTCATCATCATGAATGTCTGGTGGGACATTAGAAAATAGTCATGGCTCGGCTCCTATAGCTCAACCGGCTAAGGCGCCAGCCATGTACACCTAAGGTGGCGGGTTCGAATCCCCAGCCCGGACCCGCCAAACA